GCCACCGCCATCGTCGACGTCGTCGGTGTCGCTGTGGCCATCGTCGGCGTCGTCGACGGCGTCATCGCTGTCATCGTGACCGTGGCCATCGTCGTCGTCTTCGCCCTCGTCACCGTCGCCGCCGTCGTCGGCGCCAGAGGCGGGCCTCCTGCAGCTCCTCGTCCTCGCCGGCGGCGCGGCGCTCCGCCGTCCTCGCGCGCTCCGCCACCCCCTCGGGGCCAGGTGGGAAAAACCACGCGCCGCGCGTGCGCAGTGGCGAAATCCAAACGACAGCTCAGCTGGGCCGTACGTGCCCTCATCTTCCTCCTTCCAAGCGCCCTCCTCCTCCTCCTCCTTCTCCTCCTCCTCCTCCGTCCTCTGCTCGTTCCCTTCACAACCCTCCTCAACCCTTCTCCCTGATCCCTTTTCGGCTCTTCTTCTTCTTCCTCCTACATTTTCTTGCGCCCTCCTCAGAAGGTGATCCTTGTGGTGCAACCAACAGAACAAAACGCGTTACGCCAACGCGTCGCGGTACAACACCTTTCAGAAACACGACGCGAAACGCCGTGAGGCGAGGCAGGCGCGGCCCTGAAGATCGAGACAAACCTGTCACAACGCAAACGACGCTGAGTCGTATCGTTGCGCATGATGGTTTGAAATCGTGCTTTCGCGTAGCTTGTTGGCGCTGATTTTGGCGGAACGCTTCCGGTGCTTGTCTCTTTGCTGCGAAGCTGGCGCGGGGGATGGGGGAGAGACAGGGGGAGGAGGAGAGGGGGGGAGGGCAAGCTAGGTGCGCTCGCGTCATATCTGACATCCTACCCCTCCCTCCCATCCCTTACCATGGCGTAGATCCCCTCTTTACTCGCACAGTCGGATGTCGAGCAGGGCAATGATCGCGAAAGGGTACGCGATGCATTGTAGAGCACGGCATGGCATGGCGTAGAAGAGCACCGCAAAACGTAGTATCAACCTAGCATTGCATTGCATGCCGTGGCATGGCACGGGAAATGACGCCAGCGCTGCAGCGGGAGCACGAGTCGAAACGAGCGGAAGCGAGGAAATGAGGCCAGCGCTGCAGCGAGGAGCACGATTCGGAACGAGCGGAAGCACGGAAATGAGGCCAGCGCTGCAGCGGGAGCACGATTCGGAACGAGCGGGGCCCGAAAATGAGGCCGGCGCCTCAGCGAGAGCAGCATTTTGAAAAAAATGCAAGCGAAAACCCAACTCCCGGGAATCCTGTGGGGTCGAACACTCCCAGCACGTCATCAGGGGAAGAGGGAGAGTAGTTTTCATATTGAGTAATTGTGGAGCGATGTTGAGGAGGAAGAGGAGGAGGAGGGGAAGGAGGAGGAGGAGAAGGAGGAGGAGGAGGGGAAGGAGGCGGAAGAGGAGGAGAGGGAGGAGGATGAGGAGGAGGAGGAGGAAGACGAGGAGGAGGAGGAGGAGGAGAAGGAGGAGGAGGAGGAGGGGGTGGAGGAGGATGAGGTGGAGGTGTAGGAGGAGAAGGAGGAAAAGGAGGAGGGCGGCGAAGCGGGGGGTAGGATTGCGCGGAGGACAAGGAGTGGGGTGAGGGGTGGGGGGAGAACAAGGAAGCGAGGGTTCAGGCGTCAGGGAACTAATCTTTACCTGCACGAATCACGTGGGGGGTGGGGTGCGGAGGGCGGGGGTGCGGGGGCGGGAGGGCAAGACAACGAGGAGGGATCTGGGGGGAGAGGGAGACGAAGGGCATTTATGCTCAGAGCCGCGGCGCAGTTTTCTGCCCTTCGCGGCTTCCTGCCGTTGCGTGTTGAAATCTTCTGTCTTTGTGTGTGTGTGTGTGTGTGTTTGTGTGTGTGTGTGAGAGAGTGTGTGTGTGTGTGCGTGTGTGTGTGAATGTGTGTGTGTGTGTGTGTCAATGTGTGTGTGTGTGTGTGGCGTTTATGCGCCATGTTTTCGCGCGGCGTTTTCTCCGGAGGGCTGCCCGTGGAGGAGGAGGGGGGGGCGCGTTTTGCGCCGCGGGTTCATTGTCCATCTTCGGGGGGCAGACTACTGATCTTCGCAGCCTGGTTCGCAGAAAAGATGCAAGCGCACCCGCCAGCTTCGCAGGGAGAGTGCCGACGACTGGGTGATTTCTGTTGCACGCCGCCAGTACGCATCTTCTACAGGGGTGCCCATGTCAACCTAGAAGGGAACTGCGGATGTCATCCACGTTTGCTACCGCTGCGTTCTTCTCGCGTGAACGCATGTTACATTTATCTGCGTAGTGGTCTGTCAACTGTTCGTACCAAATGCGATTCATGCTCGCGGCGGCCACTCGAACATCTAAAACTCTACCTCAACAACTGTAATCAATCCCGGGCCAGAAATCGGCATCTGCCGGTCTTGGGCCTCAACTTCCCAATCTTCGAGTACATCGTCTGCCCCTTTCCGTAGAAGAGTGAGGCTGAGATCGGACATCGGAGACATCGTATCTGAGGAACTTTCCCGCGCGCCCTGCGCGCCGCCGCAAGCCCGCGACGGCACTCGCGTGGTCCAGGCTGGAGAAGTCGATGCCGTCGGCTGCGACGCTGGCGGCGCTGACGCGCTTTCGGGGCTGGCGCTCTCGGAACTGGGATGACCGTGGGGACTTCTAAATGGATAGGGGGGCTACAAATGGATGCCAAGGTGGGTGATATCTGGCCAACCTGGCGTATAAGTGGGTAACAGGTGCCCCGAAACGGCTTAGGGGGTTCAACGATCTGGGCCAAGTGGGCTCCGCCCACTTGGCGGAGCTATCTCACCCCCCTAAGCCACTCGGGGCACTCGTAGCCCACTTCTAAGCCAGGGTGGGCCAGATAAAGCCCACCTTGGCATCCACTTGCAACCCCCCTACAGTCGGGGCGTTGACCTAAGGAACCCTAAACAAGGAACGAGGCCCCTTTTCTCCATAAGTTAAACTTCGACTTCCCATCGGAAACAGAAGGCAAACCTGAGGCAAGCTGCGAAGCAGTTCAGGAACGTGGAGAGCCCCTCCCCAACGAAAAGGGTTCCTTCTTCAGCGACCCGACTGTATCCACTTACGGCAGGTTCGTGTCGTGCCGACCCCAGCGTTGGTTTTTGACACCGCAGGGATCGTTCAACTTTGAACGATCGGCCGCTGCCGCAACGTCCGATCGTTCAACATCGATCGATTCTGGGTCGCCGGCGGCGTTCAACCTTGAACGCCCGCGCTGGGGTCGCCGCTGGTCGACACGACGCAAACCTACCGTAGAACCCCCCACGGTCATCCCGGAAGCCCTCGTCGTCCCGTCCCGCGCGCTCCAGCTGGCGCCTGGACGCCGCCCCGCGGCCCAGCCGCTGGCGCGCGACTGCCGCCGGCGTGTAGCTGCAGGCCACGGCCGAGCCCCACAGGAGGAGGAGGAGGAGGAGGAGGAGGAGGAGGAGGAGGAGGAGGAGGAGGAGGAGGAGGAGGGGAGGAGAGGAGGAGGAGGAGGAGGAGGAGGAGGAGGAAAGGTTAGAGAGGTAGGAGGAGGGTAGGGAAGAGAGGTAGAAGGAGGCGGTCGCGCGGGATTCGCCGGCGGATCCGCGGAGGTCCAGGGTCTCTCTCTCCTCCAGACTGGCGCCGAGGCCAGGCTCGGTGAAGCGCGCTCGGAAAGAGGCTTCGCCGGATCGGGGGTCGCCGCGGTTGCTCTCCGAGTGTCGCGCCCGTGCTGGAGACCTGCGTCGAGGGGGGCGTGGGGGGGAAGGGGGTTGAGGGGGGGGTGACAGGATGGGGATGGGGATGAGGATGATGGCGAAGATGGTGTTGATGATGATGCTGCTGCTGATGATGATGAAGATGATGCTGATGATGTTGATGATGATGGAGATGATGGTGATGGTGATGGTGATGGTGATGGTGATGGTGATGGTGATGGTGATGATGATGATGATGATGATGATGATGATGATGATGATGATGATGATGATGATGATGATTATTATTATGATGATGATGATGATGATGATGATGATGATGATGATGATGATGATGATGACCATGATGATGAGCGGGAGGAGGAAGCGGAGGAGGAGGGGGAGGTGAAGAAGGAGGAGGTGAAGAAGGAGGAGGAGAAGAAGGAGGAGGTGAAGAAGGAGGAGGATGAAGAGGATGAGGAGGATGAGGAGGATGAGGAGGATGAGGAGGATGAGGAGGAGGAGGAGGAGGAGGAGGAGGAGGAGGAGGAGGAGGAACAGGAACGTTCTTGCGCAGCCGCTGGGCGAGCGATGCCGCCTCCTGCCTCCCGCCGCCGCTGACCTGTGTGCGCAGCAGAGCGCAGGGCCCGCTTCCGCCCCCACCTCGGCCGTCGGCCCGCCCTGCGTCCTCTCCCCCTCCGCAGTGGCAAGGCGCCCCCGCCCCCGGGCGACGCGCGCGACGAACAGAAGGGGTGGGAAAAAGAGAAGAGGAGGAGGAGGAGGAGGAGGAGGAGGAGGAGGAGGAGGAGGAGGAGGAGGAGGAGGAGGAGGAGGAGGAGGAGACCGTAGCCATTTTGGCTCAAGCCCGGGCTCAGGCCGCTTCCAGACGGAGGCTGCGAGCCAGAGCCAGGCGGCCCTCGGCCGCTATCTTCCTTGCCCCCTCGCCCAGAGCAATGGATCCTCCTTGGCGTGCAGGTCGGCCCCGCCGCACAGCCCGCGCTCGGCGCGAGCAGGCTGCGCGTGCGCAGGCCCGGGCCGCACAGACGTTGCTGAAGAGTTTTGCCTCCCTGCACCACAGAGGCTGCCAGGCCACCCGGATTGGTGCAGCACTGGCCGCTGCTTTACGGCCTCTGGTTCCACCTGCTGCCCGTCACGCTGCACCAGCTGCGGAGCCTTCTCCAGTGCCGCCTGCTCCACCACCTCCTCCAGCGCCCATCGAGCCGCCCAAGGACGAGCAGCTGTGCACTCCTGCCGCCATCCTCGAGGAGAGCATTGGCGAGCACTCCACTCTCGGGCGCAGGCGCAGCACGCCTATCCCGAGCCGGGCGCACTCTGCAGGGGGAAGCTCGTGCCATTCCGCAGCGAGTTCTGTCGCCCCTCCAGCCGCGATGGAGCACGAGGTGCCCGCCGCCGCGACAGTTGAGGCGGAGCCACTGCAGGACAGCCAACGGGCTACCAAAGGAGCAGCGGACGCAGACCAGCAAGGACCCGCGGGGCAGGCGCTTCAGACGGGAAATCCTGCTCGCGTGCTGCTGGAAGGTCAGGCAGTGCGCATCGTGGGCATCAAGGGCCGCACGCTCCTCAATGGCACCGAAGGCGTTTTGGGAACGTATGATACTGGCAGCGACCGTTGGGTCTTCAAATCTGGGTCGGAGGCCTTACGCATTCGCCCATGCAACCTAGAGTGCGTCGGCAAGAGCACCAAGCAGGTTCTCAGGCATGCTTTTCACCAGGCAGCGGAACGATTCCAGTACCACAGCAAGTTCATGACGAATGACGTCTTCGACAAGCTTTACGACTTCGCAGCGAGTCAAGGGCAGCCGGGCGTTGGCATGTTCTTCAGAGATTTCTGCCAGCACGAGCAGATCTTCGACCAGTGGTACGCGCGCATGGGGCCAAGTACTTCCAGTACTTCCTGAGCCCCTTGCACCAGCTCTGAGGTTTAGCGAGTGTGCTGAGTGGACGTGTTTGCTGGATTCGGCTCGTTTTCCCTCGTCGCCTCGCTGGGCTCGGCTCGTTGCGCTTGGTGTCGGGTGTTCGAGGCTCTTCGTCGCCGTTTATTCTGCAATGTCCGCTTCTTTCTCAGCCCTGAGCCCTGGCGGGCCCGTGGCTCCGCCTGATGCCCTGAGCCCTCGCGGGCCCGTGGCGCAGGCTGCCCCTGCTCTGACAGGGTGTCGGGTCCCCGTTCCTGCCTCGACTGGCTCCCGGGACCGTTCGCGTGCTTTGCTCGCTCTCTGCGCTGTCTCTCTTCGGCCCTGTCCTGCGCCCTTTTTCCCTGCTCCTGATGGGTTTCGCCTCGCGCACATAATCCTGACCGCAAGTCCAAAAGGAGGAGGAGGAGGAGGAGGAGGAGGAGGAGGAGGAGAAGGAGAGGAGGAGGAGGAGGAGGAGGAGGAGGAGGAGGGAGGAGGAGGAGGAGTAGGAGGAGGTAGGAGGAGGTATGAGGAGTAGAGGGGGTATGCTGGAGGGAGGGAGAAGGATGTAGGAGGAAGGGAGGGAGGAGGGTGAGAAGGAGGAGGATGAAGAGGAGGAGGAGGAGGGGACGAGGACGAGGAGGATGAGGAGGAGGAGGAGGAGGAGGAGGAGGATGGAGGAGGAGGAGAGGAGTAAGGAGGAGAGGGGGGCGGGGGAGGAGGAGTAGGAGGAAGGAGGAGGAGTGAGGCAGGAGGAGGAGGAAGGAAGGGGAAGTTAGGAGAGAGGAGGAGGGAAGGCAGCGTACGTAGGAGGAAAGGGAGGAGGAGGAGGAGGAGAGAGGAGGAGGAGGATGATGAGGGGAGGAGGAGGGGGAGGAGGAGGAGGGGGAGGAGGAGGAAGGAGGAGAAGGATGTGGAGGTGGAGGAGGAGGAGGAGGAGGAGGAGGAGGACAAGAGGGGGGGGAGAGGGGGGGAAGGGAGAGGAGCGGACGCCCGCGACCGCCCACTGGCGCGTGGCCGCAGTTCGGCAAACCTGCGCCGCGTCGGCGAGAAGGCGCCGCGCCCAGCCGGCGCCGCGCGAGTCTCCATGCCAACGCCGGCCGCGCACCTGTGGGCGCAGAGAGACGCGCAGCGCCGGAACCCGTTGAACCGCAAGCCGCGGTGCGCGCGCGCGGCGGGTCGAAACTATGTGCAGCTTGCCATCGAGCCTGGGCGTCCGGGAGGCGGTGCGTCCTGGAAGGCAGCATGAGCCTGCGAGCGTGCCCGCGAGCCGCCGGCGCACTTCTGTCGTCACCGAGGCCAGCCAAGGCCGCCACTGCCATTTCTTGCCGCGACCCCCCTGCCTGTATGCGCCAACATCGTGTCGAAATTTCGGCTTCCCCTCTTCCTCCGTCTCACCCCACCTACGTTTCACCTGACATCGAGTGGGAACGTGTTCCGTCACATTCCTCTTCCTTCTGCTATTCGCTCCTCTCTGCCCTTTTTCCTTTTCCTCCTCTTCCTCCTGCTCATTCGAAAGCCCCGGGAAGGCACATATGGCTCAGCTCTGGTTCTGCTCGAGTTGAAGGTGTACATATGTGTCGCTGAATTCGGGGACGTTGCAAGCACAATTCTTAAATCACGGGCTCTGTGAGGCCCAGAAAGACCGACCAGAACTGAAAATCTACGCTCGGACGCACCTGCAATATTTTCGCACACATACGGGCGTCTGCTTTCGTAACGCTTTCCCTGCGGTTCCCAACACGACCGACCCGTCATTGAAGGCTCCGTACGCACCTACTCCCCGTGAGTTCGGTGAGTTCGGATATGCCGAGGACATTGATTTCAGACCGCGGGCTCTGTGAAACCCATAAAAACCGACCTGGCGTTTGAGGCTATACGCGGTCGGACTCACCACAATGATGCTGAGCTTGGGGAGGCTGCGAACACGATTCTCAGAACGCCGGTGCCCGCACATGGGTAGAGCACTTTCGGGATCGACCTTCGACGGAACGAGGTGTCGAACATGTGTGCGGTCCAGAACGGCCCGCCGATAACCAACCAAGCCAAGTGCGGACGCAGTTCCATTATCTCGTCGCAGGAGCACCCCGGGAGCACGCAGGGGAACCACGCAGACAGACTGCGCCAAAACAGTGCGCCTTTGCGCATGCCGTGAGCGCCACATGTGCGCTGCGACCGACGCTGAGCCTCCCGGGAGGACCATAAGATCACCCCAGAAGCGACCCCCCGAGCGCCCCATGCGCGCCTCGGGATGTGTCTTTGCGTAGTGCGTAGTGTTTCAGCGCCGTGCTTCCTTCGCCCATGAGGCGTGTAGCGTGCTGCTTTAGAGAGGTGTTTTTGCGTGGTGTCTGTTTCACATTTCAAGCGCTCTGCTCCCGCTCAGTCTGTGGATTCACCATGAGGTGTGCCCGTCCACTTGTCCATTTCCATCTTCTTTCCAGTCCTTCCCGCTCATCCTTCCGCATCCTGCCTCCTCCTCTTCTTTTCTCTTCGCCCCTTCCTCCACGCATCCCTCCTCATCAGTATTTTATCCCCCCTCCTCCTTCCTCCTCCTCCTCCTCCTCCTCTTCCTCCTTCTCCTCCCTCCCCCTTTTTCTGTCTTGACCTCTCCTCCTCCTCCTCCTCCTCCTCCTCCTCCTCCTCCTCCTTCCCCCCCCTCCTCCTTTTGCCCCCCCTGCCCTCCCGATGACGACGACGGCGGCAAAGCTAGCAGCAACGACGGCGGCAACCACTGCAGCGACGACGGCGGCGGCGACGGCGGCGGCGACAGCAGCGGCGGCGACGGCGGCGGCGGCCGCGGCGGCGGCGACGGCGGACCCGCCGCTGGCGGCGACTGCGGCGGCGAGGACGGCAAGTGCACCCGCGCCCCTCCGGTCGCGCCGCCCGCGCGCGTCGCCGCTGCGGCCCCGGGCGCCGCCGCTGGGGCAGGACCCGCTTGCCTCCGTGGGCTCGGTGGCGTTGGTCGGCGCTGGGGCGTCCGGGGGGGGGGGGGGGCAGAGCCGATGACGCCACCGCCGCCAACGACGACTACTACTACGACAGCGACAGCGACAATGACTGCGACTATGACGACGTCGACGTCGACGCCGATGTCGTCTTGGCCGCGGCCGCCGCCGTCGTCGGAGGCACCTCCTCCACATCCTTTCCTCCCCCCCCTTCGGGGGCTGCCAAGGGCCAGGTCGGGCATGTTCTCCTACAGGCGGATTTTGGACGACA